TGTTTATTTGAAACATTTGAATGTTTGGATTCTAATAAGTTTCTACCATACGAAATTGAAATTTTAGGTATGAATCTGGTAAAGAGTATATATAATATTGGGTAAGAAATATAACTTGGCATATTACTAAGGTGATCTAAATGAAAATATATATAAAATCATGAGACCTAAACCCATTTAAAAAAGAATTAGGGGTCCTTAAAAGAAGTAAAATTTCCAGTTCCTCTTCTTCTTCCTCTTTGCCTTTACATACACAACTTCATGTAATCATATTTTCTCTTTTGCTCTTTCTGTAACATTGTGTGAATTGGTCGGAAGTCGTAATTTTTTTTTAATTGGATTTTTTTTTCTTCCAAATCAACGACCTTATAATTGAAGGTTTCTAACTTATGGGTCGTTTTGATTTTGGTCCAAATTGAGATTTTTCGTTTGAAAAATTCGAAAGCTTCACTTGTCGCTTCCTTCGTCTTCGTCTCGTAGCCATTCCTGTTGGTGAGTCGTACTTCTCTCTGGTCTGTAGTTCTTAGTTGAATTGATGTCTAAGATTTGATTATATTAATCGATAGATTCCAGTTTCCTCAGATTGTAATTTAGGCTGGTAGTTGCAGTTTTAGGTTCTCGTTTTGCAGATCAATCTGGAAATACATTGTGTTTCTGTATCGACTTTGTTCAGGAATTTCAATATCATACACATCAATTTGAAAACTTTTTCGAATATAAATCAACACTTGGTGCTCTAATTGTGGAGTTATTTTCTCCTTTGGTTGCTCCTCCATTCTAATGGTTTCTTGGTGATTAACAAGAAAAGATTATCTGTTTTTAGCCACTGATTTTGTCAAGTTTTTTTCCAGACCTGTATAGTGTCTCTTTGTTGTTGTGTGTTTCCGATTGTGATTTTTGGATTTCAGCTCTAAAGATTTATTCCTAAAAGAAAAGGAAAAAGAACTTAATCATGTAATATATGTTGCAGGTTTTTATTTATCAAAGATAGGTGTTAACAAGCTTGTGCTACAAAAGGTAATTTCTGTTAAGACTTGAGAGTTCTTCTCTCCTTTCAGCTAAGCAACAGTTTTTCTGAACGCATGTTCTTTCGCTAGAGGACAAGGGCAAGAAGCCTCAACAGCAGCAATAATGGTGATGGTGTCTAATTCTAGCCATCATAACAAGGAAATAAATGTCAGAAGGAGAATTTCTGAGATGTATTCTTCGTCTCAATCTTTTTCTCTTGTTGCATATCAAACTTTCATGTGCATATATATGGTTGACATAGTAGAACCCCTGATGAATCTATTTCGTAGTGGTCAGTTATAGACTGCTATCATTTATAGAGCAAAAGTTCCCTTCATTGTCTTGTTAGAATCATAAGGCAATACATAACAAGATTGCGTTGATTACTCGTACTTGATTAAGCGATTCACCTGTTTGTGGTACGAGTGATATGCTGCATGGATATGTATATGAATTGTCTTCGAGTATTTGTTCGTTGATATTCTAGTTGATTCACATGAAAGAATGGATGGGAAATAGGTTATCATAAGCTATTCATCTATGTGTATCTATAGAATCAGTCTTTTGAGTATCAATTTTTTTTTTCCGGAAATGCAGATACAATAAACGGGAAGAGGATTTCCCATCACTTAAGGACTACAATGACTACTTGGAAGAAGTGGAGTGCATGGGTTAGTTTCACTTGGTGTCTTTACATTATGTGTTTTATGTGTGACAATACCAATGTATATTTCTTCCATTCCGCAGTATTCGATTTGGTAGATGGAATAAATGTTGAGGCAATTGAAGAGAAAATTAAGAGATACTCTCACGAGAATGCTGAACAAATAATGGTTAATCGAGCCCGCAAGGTAATTTTCCTTCAATAGCCTTGCTTTTCGTATCTTGTTTGGACGATCTGTTGAGACCGTGTGTTAAAGGTTTCTAGGTATATTTGACAGTCTCGACTTAATTTGCGATATAAGCTTTTTGTCAAACCTATAAACTTATTAGACCTCAAGAAAATCTGTACCAAATGGAAATAAATAGTGTTGTTGTTACACAGTCTATTCCAATAATTCTACTATCTCAGCCTAATTTTCGAATTTGTATTTTGGTATATTCTGACAGGCTGAAGAATTAACTGCCGCGTTGGCAGCTTGCAAGGCTCAACCCGCACAAACCGATGCTGATGCGGTAAATAAAGTTTTGATTTTCATGTCAACAAGAAGCTTTAGATTTCTGAATAAACTGAAACCTTTTTGCTTGCTTATGTATTTATAGTCGTCAAACCACGGTATTACGAGTGGAATTGCATACGGTCAGGCTCCACGACCGACGGGAATGGGCCCACAGCCTGTACCTATAGGAGGAGGAGCAGATCATCAACGTTACTCTACGGAAGACGAAGCCTTGATGAGGCTCAAAGCAGAGAGAGCTCCAAGGGCTGGAGGATTTTCTTTAGAAATAAGCAAGAAGAGGGCTTTCGAAGAAGCATTTGCAAGCATTTGGGTTTGATTATTTTAGTTTTATATTTAAGACAGTGACTAGGAGGGCTGATCTTGATTGGTTGTTTAGCTTTGAATATGGAAGTAATAAGAATTTCCATTGTTCTCAATTAAATATTCACTTAATTTATTGTATCCTGTTGGTCCGACCGAGTTTGAACCATGGCTCAATAATGAAGCCGGTTTGATTTCCGGTTTACTGTACATTAGTAAAGCAATCACAGGTTCACAGAAACCAGAAAGAAAGAAGTTATCTTACTGTAGCGGCTTAAGCTCTGCTTCCCTTCTATCCTCTCATTATCATCTCTCATGAAATAGAATCGTTACAAAGATTGAATCTTCACTCCAGTTTTGATTTCATCTGGTGTACGCAGATGTTTTGGTAGCGAGCACCTGATGGGTTCGTTGAGATTGTCTTTTCCATTGGACCCATTCGACTCGAAAAGGTTTCATTTTTCTGCGAACCCACTTCAGTTTCCTGATCAATTTCCAGTTTTTTCAATTACCTGCAGTGCTCACGCCACTAGAGCCTGCTCGATCGGTTCTCCGATTAGGGCTGATAAAATTCGAGTCTCTCGTCTCACTACTGAAGCAAACGAGAATGATATTGATGCTTCTAAGGGAAATGACTCTGGAAGTGAAGCTAAAGTGGAGAGAAGCTGGAGTTCTAAATTGAAAGGTGGAAGCAATGTCACAGATGGTAATAAGAGAAAGAAATATGTAGCTCGAAAGCTCAGTCTCAGAAGAGAAAGCAAGGAGCTTGAGCTTGAGGGTTTGTTTGTGAACAATGGGGAAATAGATGTTAATTACTCCGCTATTAAGCCCGGTTTGAGTTTGGAGCATTGCAATGCTATATTGAAACGGCTTGAGAGTTGCAGTGACACTAATGCTATCAAATTCTTTAATTGGATGAGGTGTGAAGGGAAATTGGAAGGTAACTTTGGTGCTTATAGTTTGATTCTTAGAGTATTAGGAAGGAGAGAAGAATGGGACCGAGCCGAGGAACTAATCAGGGAGTTGTGTGGATTTCAGGGATTTCAGAAGAGTTTTCAGGCTTTTAACACTGTTATATACGCGTGTTCTAAAAAGGGGAATGTGAAGTTAAGTTCGAAATGGTTTCAGATGATGTTGGAGTTCGGTGTTCGACCAAATGTTGCTACAATAGGTATGCTAATGGGTCTTTACCAGAAGAATTGGAACGTTGATGAAGCGGAATTCGTATTTTCTCATATGAGAAAGTTCGGGATTGTGTGTGAATCTGCTTACTCCGCGATGATAACGATTTACACGCGTTTGAGATTATATGGTAAAGCAGAGGAAGTTATACACTTGATGAAAGAAGATAGAGTGAGGCTGAATCTTGAGAATTGGTTAGTGATGCTTAATGCTTATAGTCAGCAAGGCAAGATGGAGGAAGCTGAATCTGCATTGATCTCTATGGAAGCAGCGGGTTTTGCTCCGAATATTATTGCATACAATACTCTAATCACTGGTTATGGTAAGGTTTCTAAAATGGAGGCTGCGCAGAGTTTATTCCACCGCCTCTGTGATATTGGTCTGGAACCAGATGAAACGTCTTACAGGTCAATGATCGAAGGTTGGGGCCGCGCTGATAATTATGAGGAAGCAAAACATTACTACCAAGAGCTGAAGCGGTTGGGGTATAAGCCCAATTCTTCAAATCTGTTTACTCTAATCAATTTGCAGGCCAAATATGGTGACAACGATGGTGCTATTAAGACGATCGAAGATATGGTAAATGTTGGATGCCAATATTCTTCGATCCTTGGCATCATTCTGCAGGCTTATGAGAAGGTGGGGAAGATTGATGTAGTGCCTTATGTTCTGAAAGGTTCTTTTCATAATCATATCCGTTTGAACCAGACGTCTTTCTCAATACTAGTGATGGCTTATATCAAACATGGTATGGTTGATGATTGCTTGGTGTTGTTGCGAGAAAAAAAGTGGAGGGACTCGGCATTTGAGTCTCACTTGTATCATCTGTTGATTTGCTCTTGCAAAGAATCTGGTCGACTTAATGATGCTGTGAAAATGTACAACCATACAATGGAATCTGATGAGGAGATAAATCTGCACATTACATCCACAATGATTGATATTTACACTGTGATGGGTGAATTTGGTGAAGCAGAGAAGCTGTATTCAAAGTTGAAATCTTCCGGGGTTGTGTTGGATAGGATTGGGTTCAGTATCGTGGTTCGGATGTATATGAAAGCTGGATCCTTGGAAGAAGCCTGTTCTGTTCTAGAGATCATGGATGAGCAGAAAGACATTGTTCCGGATGTGTACTTGTTTCGTGATATGCTTCGGATATATCAGAAGTGTGGTCGTCAGGAAAAGCTCGAGCAGTTGTACTACAGGATTCGAAAGAGTGGGATCCATTGGGATCAAGAGATGTACAATTGTGTCATAAACTGTTGTGCACGTGCTCTTCCGCTTGATGAACTCTCAAGAACTTTCGAGGAGATGATTCGATGTGGTTTCACTCCTAATACAGTTACATACAATGTCCTCCTTGATGTTTATGGTAAAGCCAAGCTCTTCAAAAAGGTGAACGAGGTTTTCTTGTTGGCGAGAAGACACGGAGTTGTGGATGTAATATCTTACAACACCATTATAGCCGCATATGGACAGAACAGGGACTTCACAAACATGTCATCAGCGATAAGGAATATGCAATTCGACGGGTTTTCTGTGTCTCTTGAAGCTTATAACTCAATGCTAGATGCATATGGGAAAGATAAACAGATGGAGATATTCAGAAGCATCTTGAAGAGAATGAAGTCTACTTGTGAGACGGATCATTATACATATAACATCATGATCAATATCTATGGAGAGCAAGGATGGATCGATGAAGTGACGGATGTGCTGAGAGAACTGAAAGAATCTGGACTTGGTCCGGACTTGTGTAGCTACAACACGCTGATAAAAGCGTATGGTATAGGCGGAATGGTTGAAGAAGCTGTTGGGTTGGTGAAAGAGATGAGAGTAACAGGGATAACACCTGATAAAGTAACTTACACCAATTTAGTCACAGCTTTGCGCAGGAACGATGAATTTCTTGAAGCTGTTAAATGGTCTTTGTGGATGAAGCAAATGGGTATATAAAAAAACACATAGCTGATTCTTTTTTTTTTAATATGTTTTTGTTGTCTATAGTTGCTGCTTCTTTCGATTTGTACACAATCTGATCAGTGATCAATGAATAAAGTGTCAAACTTTTCAGAGACTATAAATTACGAGTTACTTGTTACTTGACAGAATCACGAGTGTAAGACTAAAAATATTTACAAGACACTAAAATTGTGTTTTGTATATAATTTGGTTTAATTGCACTCCAAACCAACCTCTAGTTAACTTGTGGACGAAGAAAACAGTGCACATTGTCTATCACTCAACTCAATGAATCTTCAAACCGAAGAAAATCATGCAGAAAAAAAAATGTTAAATTACAATGGTTCATCCACCGGTACAATACAAAGTAAAGAAAGGGACAAAAATTTAGTTTTGATTAAACAAAGAATAAACTTTGGAAGTAATAAACAGAACNTACGCATCTGGTAGGTTTGAAGAGTAGTCTGTATGTTTTGGTATGGAGATCATGTATCACCACTGGGTCCACGGAATCACGACCTTGAAGCAACAACTGATCCTTGTCCAGAACTGCTATTGGTGAGAGGGCAAAGTCATGTTCCACAAACCAAGAAAGAGTTTCATCAGTGAGATCAATGGAACACATTTGATTCCATTTCTTGCTGCTTTCGAATGACCCAAATTGCGACCACGTTTTATTATAGTTATATCGAAATAATTATTAATTGTTTGATGGACACGCTCTAAAATCTGTGTTTTTTTCCTTTTTCTTGAGAAGTTTTCCTTTTCTCCAACTCCAAAGTCTCCCATTTGTATCAATT